CATTTGAAAAGCATTGTCCCTCTATATTTGCAAATTTCCTAAAGTGTTGAGCTACTGAAGGGCGATTTAAATAGAGATGAGTGTTTCAGTCAACTGCAAATCAGAAAGAAGAAATCATTCAAAACTTAGTCTAACATTCTAGAGATAATTAATATTAAATTGCAATAATCGCCAAAACTGCCATAAGAACATATCTGACTATGGATATTCCTTCCAGTAGCAACCTGGCACTAAGATGGGACTAAGAGTCCCATCCCTGAGGCTCACTGTAAGTATACAAGTCTAACAAATGGTCTGCTACCAACAAAACCACTTCTTTCAAATAGTCAATAGCACAATTTGGAATTCATATGAAAATAAAAAGATAAACTCTACACACCCATTAGGCATTAGGATGGCTACCACTAAAAATCAGAAAATAGCAAATGCTGGTGAGGATGTGGAGAAACTAGAACTCTTGTGCACTATTGGTGGGAATGTAAAATGGGGCAGCCATTGTGGAAAACAATATGAAGGCTTCTCAAAAAATTGAAAATAGAATTACCACATGATCCAGAAACTCCACTTCTGAGTATATATCCCCAGAATTGAAAGCAGGGTCTCAAAAAGATATTTGTATACCCATGTTCATAGTAGCATTACTCACAGTAGCTTCCACAAAAGGTGAAAGTGACAGATAAAGGGATAAACAAAATATGGTATACATATACTAGGGAATATAATTTAGCCTTAACAAGGAGAGAAATTCTGGCACATGCTACCACATGGATGAACCTTGAAAACCTTACACTAAGTGAAATAAGACAATCACAAAGAGATAAATACTGCATGACTCTACTTGTATGAGGTGCCTATGGAATGCTCTAATTCCTAGAAACAAAAAGTAGAATCGGTGGATGCCAGGCAGGCACTGGAAGGAGGAATATGGAGTGGTAGTTTAATGGGGACAGAGTTTCATTTTTGTGATAAAAAGTGTTCTGAAGATTTGTTGCACAGTAATGTGAATGTACTTAATACTAATTAACTGTACATTTTAAATGGTTAAGATGGTAAATTTCATATGTATTTACTACATCTTTTAAAGGATAAAATCTAGCCTGAACAATTAAATGTGAAAGTAAGTCCCCTTCAATTTCCAACATGATTGAAGATGCCGCATGGAAGAGTAGGAAAGACTCCCCAAGATTAAATTCCACGCTAAGAGTGTGGTGAAGGGCATGCTCCCATCACAGCCAGTACTGAAGCACCTATCCCTCCCATCTTTGCAGGAGAGCCTGAGCCAGATGTTTTCTTTAAACCTCCAGGTTCTGACATTCCAGGGTTCTGACCTTGACCTAGAAGCTTAACCTGGGATCCCTACAGAGCTGAACTTTTGCCTGTTTCTTCCCCTTGCATAATTCCAAATCCAGATGTCTGAACTGGGAAGCAGGGTGGAGGTAAGCACTTCACCTACGGAACAATCTCCCCAAGTGACCCTCTCTGCTTGTATGCCTCCGCATTCTGAGAATATTATCTGCCTCCTGGTATTATGATGATGGAAATGAAGTCATAGGTTAAAGTGATCAAGAACAGGAGCCAACACCTGGTAAACACTCAATAAGTGTTAGCTATGAGGAGAAGGAGAAGAGGAGAAGCACATTTCCTCAGCTCCTGCTTGATTCATCCTGTAGTTTACACACTTTAGTGTTATCCGCTCTTAATTGTTCCCCAAATCCCATTAACCCCACCAGGGTCACCCAGCAGGAAGGAATGAAGCCAGTGGTATGCGCAGATGGCTTGTACTGGCCGAGGATATCCAGTGGATCACAACTCTTTCCAACCCAGCATTTTGTAACCCGATGATAGTAGTTTGGAACCAGCTATTGTGGGAGTATTTACACCACAGAAATCAGGAGATGCTCAAACCAGTGCCTACGTGCCTACTTCCTCCAACCTTGCCCAAAGCCAGTTCTTAAAATTTACAAGCTTATCAATGAAAAGAATTGCCAACAGTGTGGCATCCTGTCAACAAAAAGGGCTTGCCTCCTTCTTTTTTTTCCCTAATGTCTGTGCTTTTCTCACTGCCCAGGAAATTATATCTTCCCATATTTTGGCCTTCCCCAACCAAGGTCAAACACAAAGCAAATCACACCCCTGGTTTTAAAGAAAAATTGTAGCAGAAGATGGGAACCAAGGTTAGCAACAAAAGAAAGCAGATTCAGCTGCCAAACCAAAGTGAAAGCCAGAAAATTATGGCACAAATTCAGTCTCCAAGCCTAGAACAGGGGAAATGCACAGAATATGAACTGGCAACTTGAGAGGAGATTCTGTTCCCCAACTTCAGTTTCCAAAATGGCATGAGAGCCCAGCTTCACTGGATGTAGAGAGATGCAGACCATGCCGTCAGAATCACGAAACTCAGATGACCATTATAAGTGCCCCTATTCAACACGGAGAGCTGGAGAGCCTTCAATTCATTCTGCAAGCACCAGTACAGAGTAGAACGGAGCCCTGTCCATGTTAAAACAGGTGCCTCCCTCTGGGCACAGCATGGAATCCTGCCACAGGGCCATGTTAACAGACCATCCACGCGCTCCATAATCAAGTCAGTGAGAAGTCAGACACATCCCACCTGATTCCCCTCAAGAATGGCATCCTCCACTTCAGTTTTGTTCAGGTCCAAACAGCAAGCCACGATTGCAAATAAGTAGTTATGCCTCCCATCCAAAAGAGCCCGCTTGGCTTCCTTCTCTTCCTTCAGCCTTTGCTAAAAGAAAAGAATAAAAATGTTACATGGCGACTGCTGTTCTCAAGTGGGTTCATTTTGTAAAAATTTCATCCTATTGTTGTTTTTTCAAGTCTTAGTATCCAGATAACAGACAGCTTAATGGTACCAATTTTTACATACTATCTTCCATTTTTGGAAATAATTTATTTCTCTTATGAAAATAAGGCATGCTCACTGTTTTGAAATTGCATAATACAGAGAAGCCAAAAGAGAGGAAAATCACCTTCCATCCAGAAATTATTACTGTTAACATTTTGTTCTAAATCTTTACACACTTATTTCTATGCATACATAAGCATTCAATAGAATACCAAAAAAAGAGATCTCCATTTTTGTAAACATTTTCCTAAGCCATTAAAGTAACATTTTTCTACCCTATCTCCTATCTTTATTGTTTATCTACAGCTATACATTTGGTCTGGAAATTAACTTCTGAATACCATTGCATGCTCTTTAACTATCAACTGTTAATTATGAGAATAAGGCATGCTTAATGTAACCGATGTTGGCAGTTTGAAGTATGTCTTTCCTTATGCTCTATGCTCATACAATCATATTCAAACATACGCACACACCTATATTTACATCACACTCTAAAATGTTTTCATGCAATTCTCCCTTAACAATACATCACAGGCTTCTTTCTAGTTTAATACAGACTATTCTATCCCATGTAACAGCTGCAAAAATGTTCAGTATGAATGTACTATTATTCAACTCTTTTGACACTGGTGGTGGCTTCCAATTCATTCTTGAAATAATACATTACCTTTCATGCCAACCAGTAGCTCCCACTAGGAAAAGGAAAGGTGGCCCCTCTGGATCCCTTCTTTTAATCAACAGACATTTGTTAAACCCCGAATATGTGCCAGTGCCAAAGAGGCTAACACTACCCGGTAACCTCAAAAAAGCTCACAGCCTGGCTGGCAGGATGTGAGCTGAAAATTTAAATATGACAAATGGCATGGCATTTGCCGCAGAGGCATCAGATTTATGGGTCTCCAAATGCAGGAGCATTTATGGTTCTTCAGAGAAGCAGCAAAAAGAAGGATCTCCCACTCTAGCCTGGAGTTGAGAAGGGGTAGCGGTGGTGATGGCAGGAAAGCTTTCAGGAAGAGGTGGCTCCAGCCTAGCATTGACGGAGACTTGGTCATACTCCTAGGACAGTCATTTTTCTGCATACACAAAGGCGGAGTGGCACATGAAATCACATTCTGAAAACCAAAAGGCAGCCAGGACAGGTGAACTAAAAAGAACTAGGAAAACATAATAGGAAATGAGAAAAAAGTCAAATCATAAATATTTTCTGAACCAAATTACAAAGTTTAACTGTTATGTGAAATCCACGGAGAATCACTAATGAGTTTCAAATCAGGAGAGATAGGTGTTTAGCTGTCTGTGCAGCACTGAAACATCCATCATTCTGACAGTAGTGTGGAAAGTGGGCTAGAGTGACACATGCCTAGAGGCAGTCAGGTGGCATTCCCAGAGACTGGGTTCATCAAAAGGAGCAGGTTGAAGCAACACAGTCATAAGTTAAGCTTTTGGATGTGTAAGGTTTTGAAGTGAGTCAATACACAGGTGGACGAGGCAGACAGGCCACTGGAAATGTTCAAGGGGAAATAGCATTGCAGATACAGGTAACATGCAGGCTCTCAATTCAGCACAATGACTTTATGAGACAGACCATTCTCGTGGTGAGGGGCAGTCCTGTGCACTGTGAGATTTTAGCAGTGCCTTTGGTCTCTTACTTCCGGATGCCAGTAGTTCCCACCACCACGTCTTGAGAATAAAAAATGTCTCCAGACATCGCCAAATGGCCCTTGTGGGACAAAATAACCTCCCCCGTTGAGAACCACTGATATGATGCAGGCATAGGCATAGATATAGACACAGGCACATGTACACATAGACATAGGAAGACTGTCAATATAAAAGCTACAATGTCAATCAGTGTGAAAACAATGTGGTACCTGTTGGAGTTGTGCAGTACAGAACGTGCAAAAGTATATCAGCTCTTTCATCCAATAGGTGGTATGTGCATTCAATAAAGATCTGACAAATGAATGAATAAATGAAAGTTTAAACCATAAGTGCAGATTTTCTAACAAATATATGGAAATGAAAACACAAAAAAAGAAAATTGGGGACTACCAGTATGCCAGGAGCAAGGAGAAGAATAAGTGCAAATAAAGAAAGCTAAGGATGAGGCCAGGCACAGTGGCTTATGCCTATAATCCCAGCACTTTGGGAGGCTGAGGCAGGCGAATCACCCGAGATCAGGAGTTCGAGACCAACCTGGCCAACATTGCAAAACCCTTTTGAGACCAGCCTGGCCAACATGACAAAACCCCATCTCTACTGAAATACAAAAATTGGCCAGGCATGGTGGTGTGTGCCTGTAATCCCAGCTATTCGGGATGCTGAGGCAGGAGAATCACTTGGACCCACCCAGGAGGCAAAGGTTGCAGTGAGCTGAGATCACACCATTGCACTCCAGCCTGGGCAACAGAGCAAAACCCCATATCAAAAAAAANAAAAAAAAAAAAAAAAAAAAAAAAAAAGGATGAATGTGTAGAGCAATAAGGAAACCAAGAAACAGCACAACAGCATCAATAAACCACAGAGAGGGTCCAACAACAACAATGCTATACAGGATTTGTTGGGTTAATTAGAATATCTTTGGGGATTGCATTTCCAGATGGTTGCAGCTTCTCCCAGCTCTTCTGTAGTGTGACTGTGCCACTAACCTGTCAAGAAATAGACTGCATTTCCCCTCCCCTTGAATTTGGCTAGCCCCAGTTTTAGCCAAAAAAAATCTGGGGGTAAATAAGATGGACTTCCTAGGGTAGTTCTTAAGGGATCTTCACATTCTACCTTTAAACTTAGAATGCTGCCTAGGAACTCAGCCACGCAGGGAGACCACATGGAGGAGAACAAAACATTCTGGTCAATGGCACCATTGACCTTCTAGCTGACCCCTGCACCAACTTTCAGCCATCTGAGTATGCTGTCTTGGATGTTCCAACCTAAGTTGCCCCTACAGAAGACAGCAAGCCAGCCAATGGCACCTGCAGAAGAACCACCCAGCAGAACCCAGTCACTCATAGAATCAAGAGAGGTAACAGATGATTGTTTCTGCTTTAGGCCTTTAAGTTTTGGTATGGCTTGTAATGCAAAAATAAATAATAATTTTGTTGGAATAACTTCACTGCCTGGATGGAAATAAATACAGGCTTGAGAAAAGGATGATTGGGAAAAGAGAAATATAAAAATCCTGAATATAAACTACTATTTCCAGAAACTTGACTATAAAGTAATAGGGTGTGGTAGTAATGTAAAGGGAAATCTAGGGTCAAGGAAGAGTTTTTTAAGGTACAAAAGACGTATGAAACAGTAAAGATGAAAAAGTTGGTGATTTCAGAGTAATTGAAAGATTATTGCTAGACCTATATAATTTACATTCATTTCTCTGAACGTGAAGGACTACCTACCTGAGAGACAACTTCGCTGGAGAGGTGGCAAGAGAGAGCAGGATTCGGGTTTAAAAATAGATAATCTACCTGTTTTCTCACCATTTCTTTACAAAGGAACTAACATAGGTCCTGATATAAAGTATACATTCCACAAGCATCAAATAAAAGTAAATGTAAAACTTTCTTCAAATATCACTAAAGCCAGGAAGATGTCCTGTTGTTTTGAATTGTTTTCTGCCTTCCTGGCAGGGATAAATAAGAGATTTTTCTCTAAGTGATCTCTAAGTTTGTGCTAAATGTCTTTAGCAGCTTGAGAACTTAGAGGTCAACCAGGGAGTCAGGAATCCAGCAACAATACAAAGAGATGGCAAATGCTTGGTAGCCAAAAATAAAAATAAAAGAAGTAGAGAGCCAGAAGATTCGAGATGTAAAAGAACTGAAGGCTTCCAAAGAGCACAGAGATTTAAATAAGATTCTCCCATGGCAACACATTATTCCATAACCCATTTGTTTCCGATTCCAGAGGAAAAAAATATTCTAATGGAAGAAAAGAGAAATCACTCACTAAAATAGAAGACTAATTATTCTATTTTTACTTAATTATCACAGGAGAAACTTCCAAAGCAACTTTACTATACAAAGCAAATTATTGACATATTTTTAAATAAATGTTTTCAGAAGCAATTTAATATCTTTTAAAGCATGTTAAGACTTGAATATATTTTCTTACTTAAACCGATCATTCTATTGCTTAAAGACAAGTAATATGAAGTCAATCCTAGCGCCACATAGATGAAAGGCCACAATGTTTATCAATCTCAAATTTCATTGCATTACACTAAGGTACCCGGATAATATTGAGATTGTTTTTTTACTACCATAAAAAAAGTTAATAACGTCAAACAAATATTTAGTAATTAGATCAGTGCATTGTCAATCCACAAATCTAACCCTGCAGCTTTCTGGCTGCTAGGGAACTGCAGTAACAAGCAGTCAGGTGACTAGTTCTCTGGGGGTTGGCTTGTCCTGCTAGGCTTTGAAACATCTAGGACACTTGGAAAGCAAAGGCAGAGAGGGATTAAGAAGGCAGGAGGTAAACTATGTAACGACTTTTCTTGAGTCCTATTAAAATTGTTTTGCAGTGCATGAACAAGCACCAATAGATAGGGGTAGGGAGCATGGTCACTGAAACCTATTCAATGTTCAAGAAAATCTAGAGTAGTGTTAAAACACTGCAGCAATTTGTGATGAGATGTGTTACTACTGCCTTGGAATGAGAGAGTGACTAGTGTACTACCTCACAGGGAACTCTGCTTCCCAGGTGGCCAATTTCCCATAGACAAAGGAGCACTGATGTCAGAATGAGGTGGTAGGTTCTAGTCCCAGCTCTGACACTAATTCCAAGACCTCACGTCTTTCATTTAACCTCTCCAGGCTGCAGTTTCCTCAACTACAAAATTAAAGTGTTGGACTAGGTGACAGCCAAGGTTCATTCCTTCTCCA